TCGGGAACCTTTTTGACTAAGAGAGCCATGAAAGCAAAAATTTGGAAATTTATTTCAGTGAGAGCCATATAATATATTTTAAAAGTGAATTCAACTAAATGTCAGTATAATAAGCCTCTGAATTTATTCTTTTAAATAATGTTGTTATAACACTCACCATTAATGCGACTTCTGGTGCTGCATGGATTTGCTGATGTCTTTGTAGTCGGGTTGGTACTTGGTGAGGTTAAGCTTCATGCAAGCGTTGAGGCTTTCATCCATTAAACGTGATCGTAGGTTGGACTTGATGTTTTTAAGATGTGAGAATGACTGCTCACATGCATACGTAGATCCAAACATGGTCAATACAGCAATACTCACACGCTGCAGTGTGTGGTATGTGACAGGAAGCGCGTTCCAAGTTTTGAGAATCAGCTGGTCTTCGGGTTGGAGTTTTTTTCATTTCTGTCCACATGTGCTTGCTCGCCAACTCCGCTTTCTGTCGTGTGATTCTTTCCAAATCTTCATTCAGTGACTTGAACTTATTCACCCACATGTCTGAGGCCTTCAGGTCAGCCACTTCTGCTTCAAAATCTCTGACGGAGACACCAGGGATGTCATTCAGGTCGGCTGTGTTCAGTGAACACTCGTTTGGATGGGTGATGAACTTAAAAAGACGAGTGTGCTCACGAAATTCTCCAAAGCGTGCTTTGAAGGACTGTAGGAGACTGGATGTGCAGCCAGCTAGCTGGTGGAGATCAAGGTTTTGAATGGGCTCACTTGCTGTGCATGCATCTTTAAATTGGCTCAGTTTTTCAAAATGTAGTAAACGACCTGTTTCAAGATCCGTGATGAAAAGCTCCAGCTTGTTTTCAAAAGCAAATACAGCTTGTTGAAGGGATAACACTGTATTTCCAATGCCTTGCATTTTCACGTTGAGCTGGTTCAGATGTTCAGTCAGATCTACGAGATAGTAAAACTTGAGGAGCCACTCGGTGTCGGCTAGCTCAGGATGCCCGACGCCTTTCATTTCAAGGAAAGTCCGGATTTCGTTCAGGCAAGCCGCAAAACGGCTAAGCACCTTCCCTCTTGACAACCAACGCACATTGCTGTGCAAAAGCAGACCAGGATAGTTATTTACAACTTCATCCAGCAGTGTTTTAAACTGGCGATCATTTAAGGCTCGGGCAACAATAAAGTTGATCACACGAATGACCAGCGACATCACTTCGCCAAACTGCCTGTCACACATCTGAGCACAAAGTGCCTCCTGGTGTATAATGCAATGGAAACTTAGGATGGGTCTATTTTCATGTTCACGGAGAAACGCCACAAATCCTTTGTTTTTCCCCACCATACACGGAGCACCATCAGTACACACTGAGAGAAGTTTATCCATAGGTAGACTTTTTTCTTGAGCAAACTCCATGAAAGACTTGAATAAATCCTCACCTCTTGTGGACCCTTTTAATGGCAGAACAGCAAGACTTTCTTCGCGCAGTGTGTCACCAACAGCATATCTTGCAATCACGCTGAACTGCGACAAATGGCTCACGTCTGTTGACTCATCCAAAGCCAGAGAAAAGAACGGCGCTGCATTTATGTCCTTCACTTGCGTTTCCTCCACTTTGTTTGCCATCACGATGGTACGATCATGAACAGTTCTTGCCGACAGAGGCACGTCTTGTATCCGTTTGATTATCTTGTCTTTGTTCGGAAGATCATCAAAAAGTTCATTGGCTACATCCAGCATGAACGTTTTAGCATACTCGCCATCTGTGAATGGTTTTCCGTTCCTCACTATTGCTAAAGAACCAGCAAAGCTAGCCGAATTATAGTCACCTTGCCGGGTCCATACGCGGAGTTGCTGCTGGCTAGCTTGCACCCTGCTCAGAAGCTCTTGGCACGCTTTCTTTCTGCTGTCTCCCGCAGGGTATTTTGATGCAAAGGTAGCATGGCACGTGTCGAAGTGCCGCTTTACATTCGACCGTTTCAACGATGTAATTTTGTCATTGCAAATTAGACACACCGCAGAACCCGCTCTCTCCACAAAGGCGAATTCTTCGGTCCATTCGTCCTGAAATGTACGATACTCGTCGTCTTTTTTTCTTTTCGCCATCTTCTTTGTCGAAGGGTTAGCTTTGAGCTAATGACCGAGCAGACGCAGTCTCAGACTGATTCAAAAGGGGGCGTTTACCTGTTTTACCCAGCAACGGCAAACGTAAGCCAGTATCATCCAATTAAAATAATGGACAATTGCTCCTGCAGCCCTGAACAGGACATGCGCAGTGAAAAATCGATGGATGGATTAAAACAAGTGAGAATATTTTGTTTTATCTGCGAGCCATATGCAATCATCAAAAGAGCCACATCTGGCTCGCGAGCCATAGGTTCCCGACCCCTGGATTAGAATATTCCCTGCTGGGTGAAGCGTTGTGGGTGTGTGAGTGTGGGCGTGTCATACACACGGCTCTCCCTCTCTCTCTCGAGGCGGCAGCTGCTTGTCCACTGCTGGATGAGCTGAGTCGGCACGACGCTTGTGTCTTTGAAGGTGCTCGGTCGCGCTCGCAGCTCGTCCGCAAGGTCGCCGGGGCTGGCACTCTTGCTCGGTGCTCTCTGGCGAGACACGATTGCGCTCGCAGCGCGTCCGCAGATCGCCGGTGCCAGTCCTCTTGCTTGGTGCTCGCTGGCGAGACACGATTGCGCTCACAGCGCGTCCGCTGGTCAACGGTGCTGACTCTTGCTTGGTCGCGCTGGATATGCTCTCAATGGTGAAAGGAACAATAAAAAACGAACAACAAAAGACGAAGTCCGCAACTCGTGGCTTCTGCTGATGCCACTCCCTGTCAATGTGCCAGTCACGGGGGCAGGTTCCCGGAGCCTGCCGCTCGCAGCACTGAATTGTGTCGTGTCTCTGTTTATATCTGAAATTCTCTCCCCTCGGCTCACCTTCTCACAAAGAACCAACATTCCTTTGATTTCGCTCTTTGCTGTGGGGGCAGTTGTTTGTCCGGTGTACGCCCTATATCAGCTCTAGAAATCATGGTGTCGTGCTCTTATTTGTCAGTGTTTGATTTAGCAAAGGGACACATTTCTGTTTCGCCAAAGTGAGCAGAGATGCCTCGTATTTGTGAACAAAGCAGATAACTTCTGCTATGTTTTTGGTGAAGTGACTTTTCCATCACGAAATTACAGTATAACCACGATGGTTAACAAAGCCTATCACCTTTATTTCGGCTGCAAAATTGGAGATCAGGACAAGATGTGGGCCCCATACATTCTGCAACACGTGTGCAACAAATCTTTGCCAGTGGTTGAGCAGGAAAAGAAAATCTATTCCTTTTGCAGTGCCATTGATTTGGAGAGAGCCAACAGATCATATCAACAATTGTTACTTCTGCAAGGCGCCTCCAGTTGGAATAGGTGTGTCAAAGAAGAAAAAGTGGACTGTGCATTATCCAAACATTCCATCAGCGATACGCCCAGTACCCCACGGAGGACTGCCAGTTCCTGGTGCACCAGAATCATTCTCACTTGAGTCAGATGAGGAAGAGGATAAACATCTGGTCCTGAACCATCAAGGTCACATGACCCAGATTTTCTCTCATCCTCCTCTTCTGAACCACACCTCATAACACAAGGTAAACTGAAAGACCTTGTCAGGGATTTGGAACTACCCAAGAGTAAGGCAGAGCTGTTGGGCTCCAGACTGCAGCAGTGGAATCTCCTGGCAGGTGATGTTAGGGTTTCCATGTTCGCGACTGTCAAAAGGGACTTGTCCCATTCTTCATGGAAGGTGATCTTGTAGCCTGCAACAACATCGATGGTGTGATGGCAGCCCTCAAAATTGTTCATGATCCAGTTGAGTGGAGACTGTTCATTGATTCATCGAAGATGCGTCTTAAAGCTGTTTTTCTGCATAATGGCAATGTTTTGCCATCTATTTCAGTTGGTCATGCAGTCCATATGAAGGAAACCTATGACAACATTCAACAACTTTTGAGGTGCATAAACTATGCTCAACATCAGTGGCAGCTTTGTGGCTATTTGAAGGTTGTTGCTCTCTTGTTTGGTCGACAGACTGGATACACAAAGTACTACTGTTTTCTCTGCGAATGGGACAGTCACGCGAGAGATTCCCACTACATTGGAGCCTGGGAGGAAAGGTGTTCAGCATCCACCACTTGTTGAATCAAAAAAGATTTGTTACCACCCGTACACATCAAGCTGGGTCTGATGAAGAACTTTGTCTAAGCCATGGACAAAAGACAAGCAGCTTTCAAGTACCTCCGTGGAACATTTCCAAGGTTAAGTGAAGCTAATATAAAGAAAAGTGCCTTTGTTGGTCCTCAGCTTCGTGAACTTCATCTAGATTATGCATTTGACAGTGTAGTGTGGCAAGGAAAAGATGGCATGGAAAGCCTTCCAGTTAGTGGCAACACATTCTCGGAAAAAACAAGGCAGACATCTACAAGGAGTTGGCAGAAAACCTCAAGGCATACATCCTTGGTTGCAACATGTCACTAAAGATACATTTTTTGCACTCATCTAGATTTTATCCCACCGAATTGCGGAGCAGTGAGTGATGAGAATGGCGAGCGATTTCACCAGGACATTACAACAATGGAGAAACGGTATCAGGGCAAATTGAGACCATCAATGCTTGCAGACTATTGCTGGACATTAACAAGAGATGCTCCATTTAATGAGACAAGTCAAGAAGTGCCGAGTAGACACTGAAAAAGGACTAAACTATGTACTTATAATCTTGATTTGAAGCTTTCGTGACTGCAGGAATCCACTCTTTGGGACAGCTTTCCCACCTGATGATGGGCGCTTGTGTTGCACCCGAAACGTCGTGATTTATTTTATACCTACGTGACTTTACCAAAAGAACCAAAGAGTATGTACTTATATATACATACTAGTTTTGTCTTTTGTTTAATAATTATATTTATATAACCCTTTTAATGATGTTTAAAGTGTTGCATTAACAAGACAGGTGGCATGTTATCATGTAAAGCAACCATACAAATATGAAAAGACCAAGGTTTACAATTTATTAGTAAAACTCTACGATCAACACAATATACAGACGTAAAATGTAAAAAATTATATCTTGAGAAGTTGTTTTAATTGGCATATTTGAATTCAGCACGTAAAAATCATAATAAACAGCAAATTTCATCCCTCAAGCAGAGGATGTCTAAAAAATGTAATACCAGTGTTACACAACTGAGATAACACATCAATCATCGTTCCCTACTGACAGACTCATTCCCACATGCAGGCTGAAGGTCATCTAATGCCACACAGGGGCAGCTGCCACTTGGAGATGCCCTTCGAGTGTGTGATGAGATATTATACAAAACTCCGAGTTACTGAGGCAATTAAGCAAGCACCATATAAATGTAAATATTATTATAACATGGTGAATGCTTGGGAGCTTATTGGCTCTCGCTCCTGGTTAGAGATCTACCCAACCCACAGGCCCAACTTCACATTCTTTTCATGACAGGCCTGTGACAAGGTCAATCTATTGGAGCTTCATTGCCTATAGCTTGCACATCTACCTGGTCTCCATTTGACTTTGTATTGTCTAAGAAGTCCACCCACACCTCCACTTCCACAAACTTCTGGGAGTTGCCTTGCTCTGCCTCACAGTCAGAATTCTCCTCCTGCTTCACGTTACTTCCATCGATGTGAAGGTCCGATTTTGGAGTTGAATATTCATCTTCAGAGTTTACCTTCACTACTTCGCTCTTCACCTTCATCTCTTCATATTTCACCTTGATTTCTTTTAAAGTGTCCAAGCTGGGATTTTCTTCTGGTTCTTGTTTCATGAGGGATGGGCTCATTGCAGCACTTTTACAAGTCGATCTCAGACTCCACTCTTTGGGGATCTTCTGATGCCTGTGTCTTATCTGGTATTTTTTAAGATAAGATGAATCGGAAAATGCATTCCCGCACAGAGTACACTTGAAGGGTTTATCTCCTGTATGTGTCCTCTGGTGTCGTTTAAGAGTAGATGAACGTGGAAATGCCTTCCCACACACACTGCACTTGAAGGGTTTCTCTCCCGTGTGTGTTCTCTGGTGTGTTATAAGACGTGATGAATGTGGAAACAACTTCCCACACACAGTGCACTTGAATGGTTTCTCTCCTGTGTGTGTTCTCTGGTGTATTTTAAGAGTAGATGCAGCTGAAAATGCATTCCCGCACAGAGTACACTTGAAGGGTTTCTCTCCTGTATGTGTCCTCTGGTGTCGTTTAAGCATAGATGAACGTGAAAATTCCTTCCCACATACACTGCACTTGAAGGGTTTCTCTCCCGTGTGTGTTCTCTGGTGTGTTAAAAGACGTGATGACTGTGGAAATGACTTCCCACACACAGTGCACTTGAATGGTTTCTCTCCTGTGTGTGTTCTCTGGTGTGTTTTAAGAGTAGATGCAACTGCAAATGCATTCCCGCACAGAGTACACTTGAAGGGTTTATCTCCTGTATGTGTCCTCTGGTGTTGTTTAAGAATATGTGAACGTGAAAATGCCCTCCCACATACACTGCACTTGAAGGGCTTCTCTCCCGTGTGTGTTCTCTGGTGGGTCTGAAGAACTGCTGACTGTGCAAATGCCTTCTCACACACAGTGCACTTGAATGGTTTCTCTCCTGTGTGAGTTCTCTGGTGGATCTGAAGATGTGATGAATGCGCAAACACCTTCCCGCATAGAGTGCACTTGAAGGATTTCTCTCCTGTATGTGTCCTCTGGTGCTGTTTAAGCATAGATGAACATGAATATGCCTTCCCACATATACTGCACTTGAAGGGTTTCTCTCCTGTGTGTGTTCTATGGTGGGTCTGAAGAACTGATGACTGTGCAAATGCCTTCTCACACACAGTGCACTTAAATGGTTTCTCGCCAGTGTGTGTTCTCTGGTGTCTTTGAAGATATGACGACTTTGCAAACACCTTACTGCACACAGTGCACCTGAAGGGTTTCTCCCCTGTCTGAGTTCTCTGGTACTGTGTCACATTTCCAGTACGATCCGTTGTGTTTGAATTCTGGTCGCATTGTTTTCTTTTTGTACCGAGCTGTGCTGAGCGCCTTTGCTCCATGAGATCAATGTTGCAGAGGAAGCATCAGAGGAAGCGTCAGCTGCAGACAGAAAAAAAATATCCACACCATCTCTGTCAGTATCGAGGCACAGAGGAATGCACATATACACAGTCACACATGACTTACACGTCTATACTTATTCATGTATTCATTATATAGTTAAAAAGATTCCCCAATTCATCACATTGGCTGTTAAGGCACATAATGAGAGGGCAAATGGTCATGAATGTCTGGAAGCCCTAGTAGCTTCAAAATTAATGTTAACCCAAAACTTAAAGCACACAATTTCGGATGTCTGGCTACAAAAGCAATATTTAGAAAAGCAAAATTCAGCTAACAAAGCAAAGTGTTATGAAAATAATACTCTTTGTGTTATGCAGAAGGCATAAATTAATGTTCAATTGCAACTTAGAGGTGTGAAGCCAGGCTCAGATTTGTTTGAATGCTCGGATGAAAAGATGTAACTTCAGCTGCATATGTGCTGTTATTTTCCTGTTTCCATTCTTATAAAAAGTTTCAGAGGAAAACAAAAAACTATTGTTTTGATTTAACCTCCGAGGAAAATCGAGTAAATAAACTTTACATCAAATACAAACCATACACTGTCACACACTGGCATGGTAAAAAGATGGTGGTGTGTTCAGAACCATGCCTGGCTGCCTTCATCTGCTCAATATTAATGCTTCCTCACTTCACCATGTAATTAACTGAGGATACATCAACATAGCAGAGGCCCACAATAAAGTTCAGCTTTCACTTATCAATCATGTTTGCTGTCAGCTATAATCAAACTATAATTGTTGAGTTCATAATACAGTGATATAACTGCGCCACTACGCCCCACATGTATATGTACATATACATTTCACATGGATCATTAACAGATTATATAAACAAATCAGCCACCATTTATCACGAATTGGAAGTAATCTTATCACAGTGCTCATGCCATGATTGGTGCAATTGAAGGCCATGTAAGTGTGGATCACTTGTCAGCAGGTACAGGGACTGATCCAGGTGTCAAGGGATGACAGACAGATGCACCAGCTGTGCTTCCCTGTCTTGCTGCGTTTTAGGCATCCAGCGTTCCACCCATTCATGTGAGCATCGCTCCTCTGACCTCATCGTTGTTGCAGAGCAAATATCTCTTAACTGCCATGCAGTATACCTCATGGGCCTCCTCCACAGAGGCCGCTCTTGACACTCCTGGTACCAGTCATTGGCAGGTCTGATCACCTCCACATCATCCAATCTCTTCTCTAGCCAATGCCATGCCTCTTTAGTCCTAATATCTGGACTAACAGAAGCAGCGTGAGCAATGGGGTGTCTGGGAATGCGGATTCATGACAGAACCAATGCAGCCTCGCCTGCCAAAAAGAATCACCGATTAAATTCTATTGATTTCTAAGCATCTGTAAGCTTCTAATACATATTCTGGATCAAAAGAGGATGGATCATAGGTAGGCCGGCCTTCATGGTATAAGCCAACAGACGGTCATTTAAATAAGTTCATATTTTGTATCCACAGAGAAAGGAGTAATATCTCTGGCCAAGAAAAATCACAGCTTTGTTCGTTCGTTCGTTCCATTCTAAATCCGGCTTGTCCTGGTAAGGATCGCAGTGGCAGCATGTTGAGTTTGGCGGTCCAGGCCTCCCTTTCCCTGGCAACAGACTTTAGCTCACCGTGGGGAATTCCCAAGCATTCCCAGGTCAGCCGAGTGACATAGTCCTGCCAGCGTTTCCTGGGCCAGCCCCGGGGTCTTCGCCCAGTGACACGTGCCTGGTAGAGTTCCAGGGGGAGTCTATTGTGGGCCATCCTTACATATATTCTATATTGATATCACCCCTGGAGCCAGGCCCGGGGGTTGTGTTCACCAACAAGCGCCTCGTGGCCGAGTGACCCACATAACACGGTCGGGCCCAGCCTGAAATGGCTACATGGTGCCATCCTGTGCGCCCACCATCCACAGGATGAAGGGTGAGGGGTGGGTGCGATTCCAGTATGGCAGGGATAGTGATGGTCTCAGACAGACTAGACCTTGGCGATGGACACTCACAGATTTGTATGAAGCAAAAGTGCAGGGAGCTTTTGTGAACTAAATTCCACCAACACCATGAAACCTACACACCCCAAACTTTCCATGTGTACTCACGGGTGAGTTGGTGTTTTTCGCACAATTTTTAGCTTACCTGCTCATCTTCAACACCTGTAACACCTGCACACTCCAACCCCCCGCCGATGCATCCCCCCCCCTCACTCCTCACCACCCACCTCTCTGTTTCTCTTGCGATGAGTTAAAGCCAGGCGCATTTTCACGACTTCTGGTTTCCCACACACGCAAACACATTATGAAATTTCATATACTACAATTCTAAGCACTCACCATAACATAAGTGTCTGCACTGCACTGCTATATTTCTCATATTTACCACGTTATCCTTCCCGATTATCAGGCATGCGTTTTTGCCGCCAAATTCATCCACTTCTGGCTCCTTACTGCCCTCTCTGCACGTGCATGGCTCACCTCTAACACACACAGAATATTTATTTTTAAAATAACATATACTATTCTGAAATGTCTACATATCAATTCTACCGACCTACTCCTACAGAATATAGATGCTATACTACAGCTACGACTAAATACATCAAGTCTACATAGCCTGTAAGGACTAAAAAGCATGCCCATACACACTTGCATTAAAATAATGATATACGTTCTAGATTTAAAGCTTTCGTGACTGCTAGGATCCATACTCTTTGGTTCTATTGGGTAAAGTCACGCAGGTGACTTTACCCAATAGAACCAATGATATACGTACCCACACCACCACACACATACTATTCATACCCACTTCAAGCACTACAAACAATTACTCCCTCCAACAACTAATAGCCTTATACTTCGTTCCTTTGCGCCTATGTCTCCACATTTCTACAATGATTACACAGAATAGGTTTTCCCCTTTTTTCTGGCAACAAAACAGGTGTTGAGATGTTAATACACTAAACTGAAACCTTTTACAAGGAATCATGTCTGCATTAACCACAATACTTGTGGTCAGAATGCAAAAAAACACTGATAATATATTGGCATTGTCTTTGAAACTGATTGGTCCACACCAGAGACAGCTTTCTTTTGAACAGCTTTCTTTTCAGCCTAGTCTCAAGACGGTTTTGAAACTAGGCTCAAAAGAAAGATGTCTCTGTTGTGGACCAATCAGTTTCAAAGACAATGCATATATTTTATCAGAGTACGTTTTTTGTTTGCATTCTGACCACAAGTATTGTGGTTAATGCAGACATGATTCCTTGTAAAATGATTCAGTTTGGTGTTTTAACATCTTAACACCTGTTTTGTTGCCAGAAAAAAAGGGGAAAACCTATTCTCATATTTTAGTAATGGAAAAGAAGGTTCCATGATGAAATGATTACACATTCAACTATCATTTCATTAACAATCTCACCAGAGCATTCAATCACGCAATCACTATTCACTCTTTTTTCTGCTTACTAACTTTTACCTCCACTTATAATGTTCCATGCGGAAAAGATGCGCTTCTCTTCACCAAAGCCGATTACAATAATTTATGCCATTCGTACAAGTGCTGTGATGGCTGCAGCTATTGATAATTACACTTTTGAACACCAAGAGAAAAGCCAGCATGCTGACAGTGCTGCGATGGCTGCACCTACAGCGAATGCATCTCAACAGCAATAAGCTACACAGAGAACTAACACAGCACAAATGGCTGCTGCCACAGCTAATCAAACTCCAGTGCACCACCAATCAAGGCAGCTTTCTAACATCACTACAGTGGCTGCAACCAGGTTCCAAAACTGCAGCCAAAAGGAAAAGTATTCTTTTCCATACATTCCTCACTTCATTTACACTTCTGATTCATTAGTTGCCTTTGGTTGCATGTCTACTTCTTGCAGCTACTGCCATGCAATGACATGGAAAGGAGACCCTCCAGGGCTATGCTGCAACAGCACCATGGTTCAGCTGCCTACAATTCATGACCATCCCGAGCACATTCATATATTGATACCTGCCAACACTGCCTATGCAAGCCAATTCTGAAACAACAATAAAAGATAGAACTCATGCTTCCACATTACATGGTTTGGCACCAACCAACTCATCCCGACATCTGGCTACATACCCACATTTAAAGTGCAGTGCCAGGTACATAATCGCATTGGAAGTCTGCTGCCACTACCTAATGACCAACCTACATTACCACAGATCTACTTGCATGTCTGAATAATACTAGACAGGCTCACCAGCATTGCAAAAATGTCATCAGCATCAACATCTGAAGTCGCTTTCATTCTGACTGCTGAATAACATGGCACTTGCGGCATCGTCTTACAACTGAGGAACAATACCCTAAACAGAATTGAAAAACAACGACCCCATGATGCTCTTCAATGTCCACTGATTTTCTGGCAAGGTGATGGCTACAATTTCCTACTTTGCCAAACTGACCCAGCAACAGGCTTGTCAACACAAAATACGATTTCCGTCATGGACTTCATTGCCTTCAGGATCATGGTGTGAAACGGCAGCTTCAATCTCTTGAGATGCAAAGAGCTCTGCCACCAATTTTCTGTCATTCGATTAAACCCACCAGATGGCAAAATATCAAACACCATCTATCCTGAAGCTCTCAAAGAGTAACGAATCTAAAAGCTGTCCTCATTATGAAGCAAACAAGCCCTACGATTGTATAACACAACCAGAAAACCGTGACAAAATACACACATATTCGGCTGTCGCCCGATGACGCTAGTTGTAATTACTGTAAATGTTGTGGCTTGGCTCTCCAACACACAACCGGTGTGCTATACGAGTGACCAATTGGCC